TAAAACTCTCAAGTCATATATCTACTCGGCAACAAATTTTATGCAAATAGCAATACAATGTAAAATGATCCCAATGGATGTCGAGTTCAAAACTAAAATAAAAAAAATCTCTGAAATAGTAAAGAACTGTCAAAATCAATTCACTCTGAAGAAAAACATTATCGTGAAACAAAAATATAAAAAAAGATGTAGAAAACGGTTTACTCTGCTCTGGTTCGATTTTTTAGTGGTTTCTGAAAACCCATTTGTATCTGTTTTATTCATATTTTCCTTCTGATTTTATGAGAAAAGTCTCCTGATTGAATCCTATTTTTCAATGAAAAAATTCGGATTTGGCAACCCGAAGTGGGAGTTAAAATCAGACTGATAAAAGTACAAAGATTGAATCATACAACGTATACAAGAGAAGCATGTGGCAGAACAATAGCCTGATATTGATTCGAAAGTGCGTATACAAGAAAAAAAGAATTAAGTGGAAAAGATAAGAAGAGCATATAAATACAGAACAGAAATAAAGGACATCGCGCACATTTCACTCAAGAATAGATTATTACAACTTCGACTCGTTACTAAATGACGAATAATAGACTGGTTTCTTTGTAAATCTATACATTCACTTGAAAACATATATATCTTTTTAATCAAAACAAGTCAAAAATGTCGGAAGCCACCACTAAAGATAAGCCAACTAACTTCTCGATAGATCCTGAAATCGTAAAATCAGAATCAAAATTGCATCAGAGTCGTTCCATTATTCGAGAATTTAGTTTGAATACATCAATGCATGGTATTTCTGGTATTTCACGTAGTCAAAGTATAAATAATCGTATTTTCTGGTCAATTGCGATACTTATATTTACTGGTATGATGTTTTACTTTAGTATACAAGCAATTCGTGCTTATTTTAAATATCCTACAGAAATATCAGTAGAATTTATTGAAGAATGGCCACAAGCTTTTCCAGCAGTTACCATTTGTAATTATTCACCACTCCGCTATGATCAATTTATTATGCCTTACTTAAACTATACAAATACATTTAATTTAACAAATACAAATGATACAAATACATTTTCTGCATTACAAGCAGAACATATATCTAATTTTCTAAATCATGAACTCAATCGAAATCAATCTTTACATGATCTATACTATCCACTCGAGACCATGTTAATAAAATGTGTCTATAATGGTGTTAACTGTTCAGCTCATGATTTTATTCGATTTATATCGCCTCGATATGGCTTCTGTTACACTTTCAATGCTCAAACAAAACATATTAACAATGGAAAGCTACATTATAACAATGAAAATGGAAAAAGTGGTCAACTTGAACTGGATTTATATACACATAGCCATCAATATGTTCCATATCTTTCTAATGGTGTGGGTATAGTAGCAATGGTACATGAAAATACACAATTGCCTCTTATAGATAGGGCTAGTACTCAATTGAGGCCAGGACAAAGACATAAACTAGGCTATATTAAGATGACGAATGTTCTCTTACCAGCACCTTATACAACTTGTAACAATAAAGTTTCTCTTGGATTACAAGCAATGTTCAATCAATTTCCACAGGCTCACTATACCTATGCACAAGAATTATGTTTTATAGTTGCAATACAAACCTACACGTTTGTATAATCAAATTATAGTCTCCATCTATTTTATGTATTTATTCATTATTTACAGATATCAAGAATGTGGTTGTGTTAGTCCTTTTGAATGGTCTACTCGTTATATTGTTCTTTCAGGTACGACAACAGTCATTCATGCAAGTTTGTGTAATACATCTGATACCTGTTATGCAAAGGCAGCTGATAGATTTAGAAGTTTAAGTTCTATTGCACGAATCTTTGCTTCAGACTGCAATCAAGAATGTTCTATCAATAAATTCTTAATTAAGTTATCTTCTATCGCAGCACCAACTTCGTGGTATTTAAATGATATTAAATTTTTGATTGAATCAGTATCGGCAATTCCATTATCTTCCAATTGGTCTACAGTATGGTCTTCGGATATACAAGCCAATTATGTTGGTATTGATGTTGTATGTGAATCAACTCGCGTAGAGACTTATACACAACAAGCATCAATCAGTGTTGTTGATGTAATTTCCAATGTTGGTGGGCAAACTGGTCTTTGGATGGGTATCAGTTTTCTTTCATTGATGGAAATTGTTGAAATGCTTTATCGACTTCTTCGATATCAATATCATCGTATACGAAGAAGACTACAACAATGATACTCGAACTAGCATCAACGAAATATTTCTTAAGTGACTTATCAAGAAAATACTTTTTTTTGAATTCATAGCCTTTTATTCAAAAGAGGGTGGGTGTGGGTGAGGGTTTTTGATAAATATAGCACTCATACCCACACCCACTATTTTTTTGTTCGAAAAATACATGTGAGTTTCACAAAATGGATGTGAGTATGAGGTCTGAGTGTGACTGTGACTGTGAGTGTTGATGTGTCTTTCTTATTCTCTCACCCACACCCACAAGAATGTTGATAAAGAGCAAATTGTCAGAGAATACGTAAGTTTACTCAATTTTGAATTCTGATAGTGAAGTTCTATGATACCCAAATATTTTCTTCGTTATATTTAAGGAAATCGTTCTTTGGGTAGTTTTTTGAATTATTTCACGTCGGCTTGAGCGCAGTGAATGACGTTCTTACTGATTTTACAGGTGTATGACATCTAATACAACTAGAGAAAGAGAATAGGATGCAATTGTCACACACTATTCCGGCAAATCAATACATGTTTATCTGAGCGTCGACAGTCTCCAAAACGTGATTATAATGCAAAAAAACAGTATACTTATTTTTTCTATTTGACAAATAAAAGAAATATATTATTAACAGTTTTGTGTGATGTTAGCATAGCGACATTGTTCATTCATTGATCAAAAATGAATAGACTACTTATCGTTTTCATAATCATCATTGTATTAATTGGCATCTGTGAACCAGTTGTACTTCTTTATAATACTGAAAATAGTAACAGTACAGAAGGGTTTGATTGCATTTATCATACAGAATTCTCTACTGTTAAATATTGTGCACGATTGGGCACAAGGGTAAGTATTTTCACAGATATGAATACTTGTTTGAACGGAAAAAGATGGAGTTTTTCTGAACTATTATCAAATGAAATTTCACCTTGGGATGTTCTATCATGGAGCTCCAGCGTAGAAAAAGCAGATGACTATGCACGAGTCTTCTATAATCGATCGGAAAATTTTGAAGACGAGCCAGTCCTATGTCAATGTTCAGAAGGATTTCTAGGAAAGAAATGCGAGTACCAACTTCTCTTCGATACTTCTTCCTTCAACAAGGCTTGGCCAGTACTTTTCAAAGCGCACAGGAATAGTGAAGGTCATCAACTGTACGGTAGTATATTATGCTATGAGACATTAAAATGTGACTCTGGAATGTTATGTCTTGATTGGAGAGATATTTGCAATGGACAACAAAATTGTATGGATGGACTTGATGAAGAAAACTGTGATTTATTGGAATTTAATGAATGTGAAAACGATGAATATCGTTGTACCGATGGAATGTGTATAGCAGAAGAATATTGGATTGATGGTAAGTTGAAAAGTGAAAGTCTTAGACATACAGCGAAAAAAAAACTTGAAAAACACTTTTTGAAATAGGTTCACTTGATTGTATGGATGGGACCGATGAAATGTTCGCTCTACATGGAGTTAATTGCGTCGCTTATCCGTGCCCCATCGATTGTGATGACCATAAATGTCCCATACATCAGTGGTCATGTGGAGATGGTCAATGCATTCCTTATTTTAAGCGATATATCTACCAAACAGAATGGCGAGATTCTATAATGTGCCTCAGTATGCGGGAGTTCAATTACATGTGTGAATTAGCATCTGACGAATCATATTGGACAAAACCGGATGGTCTTTGTACGGAACGGGGCTACCATGATACTTCTTTGATACTCTCATCGAACTTGGAGAAATGCATCTATTACATTCGCTGCGCACTTTCGAAGGGAGCTGAAATTCAATGCCCATGTAATGGAACAAACTGTAATACATTGATGCAAGAAGTCTGTGAGCATGGTAGCAGCTATCTATATCCAGGTCGAGGCATTATCCGGCCATGGATTAAGCAATATTATTCATGGGAACAAACTTGGAATGACAAGACACCGGCTTTGGCTCTGTTCGTGGGAAGTATTAGATGTCGAGGATTTCACATTGTTTTGAAGCAGGAAGATAACTTTGAATTCACGCTACCTTATAATCTATATCCATTCTCCAATCTAGATGATAGATTCTGTCCTATTATGCCAATGAAACATCGGAATATTATGTCGTTGTACAAATATTCAGCTACATGTTGGAATGATTCGTTCACTTTCAGTGGACGACCGTATGCCTTTTGTGATATTTGTCCGAATTCAAGTATATGTTTTTCACAATATCGAATTGCAGATGGGATACAAGACTGTGCATATGGAGAGGATGAAGATAGTCGTGCAGTTGAAAAAAGAAATTATTGTCACAACATTCAAAAGCATCGATTCCAGTGCTCTTCAGAACAGATGACTTGCTTAACACTTCAAAGTCTGACTCAAATTCAAAACTTTGGAAGCACGTGCGTAAATAAGTACGATATAAAAATTAAAGGTGAAGGACAATATCTGGATAGCATAGTTTGCGTTGATGTTATAGACATCAGCGACTGCAATCTACTTCGATATTATATTGGCAATTCATCTATTCCGAATTCCAACTTT